AGTGATGAGCCGCTGGGGCTCCATCTTGCTAGTCCTGAAGTGGTGGGGAGAGGAAGCTGGTGACTGGGTCCAAGTGGAGGCTTCCATCTTGGAGGATGGCTCTGCCCAGCAAGCAGAGCGCATGTGCAGTTCATCTGCTGATGCTGCTTCTTCTTGTCTTTCCACACGCTGTGAGCACAGAGCACGCTCCACTGGCCAAGCCCAGCCAGAAACCAGTTCCTGCAGGAAGGGACCCAGAGTAGCGGAAAGAAAAGAAATCCTGAAGCAAACAAGAGGCCATCTGGCATGTCACCTTGAAAGACACCTTGGGGTTTTGTTGCTGCTATCTTATTTGTTGAACTGTCGGGGTATGCTCTGTTCCAAGTGGGTTACATGTACTAGATTATGTAATTTTCATGGTATCTTAAGAGTGAAGTATGCTCATGGATGTGTGAGCACCTCTCTCTCTCTCCCTCCCTCCCTCCTTCCCTCCTTCCCTCTCTCTCTCTGTCTCTGTCTCTGTCTCTCTCTCTCACACACACACACCCCTCCAGGGATTGGCAATGCAGTAGATATGTCTCAGCTTCTATTAGTGCTGCTTTGACCGAGGAGACATGAGCTCACTGGCGTAGAGTTGGATTATTTTGGTAAGTGTTAATATTGCAGCATTTTAAGGCACCAGGGTAGAAAATAGGCCTCATTAGCGTGCAGTGTGTGGAGCGGCAGCTGCGCCAGGGATGGGAGAGGCTGAGACACTGCCCTCGCTGCGGTTCTCCGTCCCGCACCGTCACTGTCTGCGTGGGCCGGGAGGTGGCGGGTGGGCTCCTGCGAGCTCAGCTGTGCTGCAGCGCCCTCAGCCCAGCCGTGTGCCACAGAGCCGGACGCACCTGCAGCGTGACCAGCCACCCGGCCACTGGCAGAGCCTGCCTGGGGTCAATGGCATTCTTGGGAAATCAGAAGCATTCCCAGGCAATAAATATGCACCTTTGCCTGTGGTCCTGAACTTTGCCATGCATGAGGTCAAGGTAGACCTCATTCCAAAGGCAGACCCGGGGCTCTGTCGCCAGCATTCAGCCTCGGGAGGGAGGAAGGTGCCGTGAGCGGACTCCTGTGGGAACTGTCTCAAGTGTCTGGCGCCCTCCCTGAGTCAGTGTTTTGGAGTGGGAGCATGTGTCTAGAGCTGGCAGAGAATGGGCTCCGCAGACGACTAGACCAACAGCTAGAATAAAGTGCCATGCTGACAGGAAGCTAAAGAACACAGCCACAAACTGGGAGCCCCTCCGTGTACGCACACCTTAGTTGAAGTGTAATCAGCTTCAGTGTGACTCTTCGTTAAAGAGTAAGCCAGGTATCATTGGAAGACAAGGCAGAGCGAAACAGTGCTGGAGGACAAAACCAGCTGGGCGATGGGAAGACATACTATCTTTTCCAAAGATGAAAATTACTTTAAGGAAAGTGACTGCTTTTAAATCCTGACTGCTGTGCCTCCCACAGGAAGGCTGCTCGGAGAGGGCGAGGGCTGATGAGAGGTAGCTTTTCCAAGTCATTCCAGAGTCCGCCATCTTGTCTAGCTACAGCACGTGTTCAGCAAGCCCTGAAATGTGAGGTCCCTCAAGAGACCGAGCGGAGCTTCTTGGGACTGAGCAGGAGCACGGGCAGGTTCGAGGGCTTCCCACGCATGGGTGTCGCACCTGCTTCTCTCAAATTCTGGGTGCACCTCTACCTTTCAGCGCCTCCATCTTTTATAGTTATATTTATTTTTTAAATAAGTTTTTATTATGAAAATACCCTACAGAGGGGTTACAATCACATGAGCAAGGTAATGAGTACATTTCTTATCAAGCATTGTTGCCTCCTCCTTTGTTTCCCCTTCCCATCCCTTCCATCTTTTCTCCACAACTACATCATCCTCCCCCTCTCCCCCCCTGCACTATGTACAAGACATAGTGTCTTGTACATCTCATTGTTACAATGGGTCAACCTGTATCCCTATTTAAGCAATTTGTTCCATTTTTAAACTGATAAAACAGACATCATCAAGCTAGCCTTACTACTTCCATTCATGCCAAGATAAACTCAGATCATGTGCAAATGAATATTATACTTGCCAGTCCAGGGACCAGGAAGAACTGTACCCAACAGGGTGTCCAGGGGGCCAAGAGATCACACCTAGAATGCTTCAGTGGATTTTGGTCTGCTATAAATAAGCCCAGGAGTCTATGCTATTCCCAGCAAGGGTTTAGCAAGATCTATTCCAATCCTGAAAGTAAAAAATAACTGTGTTTGAGCAATGACTTGGTTCTTCAGGCCAGTCTCAGCATTCCATCTGAAATCAGAGATTAGACCATCTATTCCAGATCTCCCAGAAGAGATTGTATGTCCACGGAAGCTATCTGATAAGAGTCGATTCGGGTTTCAAACAGGATCAGTGGAGTGGGCCTTGGGTTTGCACAGCTTTCAGCAGAACCCAAGCCTGCAAAACAAGTGTTGGTGACAATGTGGGGAAAATGTGGATCTCTCAGACACTGCTGTTGGGGGATGAAAATTGTACAGCTGTTTGGAGAAAATGGTAGTTCCTGAAAGGTTTTAAATGTAAAGTGATCATTAGCCCAACAAATCTACTCCTGGGTGAATGAAAACATCTACATAAAAACTTTTATGCCAGTGTACATAATATCCAAAAGAAGGAAACAATCCTAATGCTCCTCAACTTCACAAATGCATAAAATGCAGTATCCACAGATATAGTATATATCCATATATGGATATATATATCTGGATATAACTATATATAGATATAATATATATGCACACACATTAGAGTACAGTATTTTGTAGCAATATAAAGAAATGAAGTGTAGATGTATGCTACAACTTCTTTCACTTAAGTAAAAGAAGATGGATATGAGCACAATAGTCAAATGTCTAGAATATTAAATCCACAGAAACAGAAAACTTCTAAAGCGATATAGGATTTCTTGTTGGGTGACTTAAGTGTTCTAAAATTGATTGTGATGATGGTTGTATAACTGCACCATACTGAGCCTTAAGTGCAGTTATATGGTATTTGAATTGTACCTTAATAATCTCAATAAAGCTATTGAAGTAGGAGGGGAAGGGAGAGGTGAAGAGGAAAGAGGAGAAAGAGAAAAAGGAGAAGGAGGAGGAGGAGCAGAAAAAAGAGGAAGGAAAAAAAAGTAAGCTAGAAAAAGAACAGCCTAGTTGAAATCCCTTGGTAAACTTTAAATGCTTTGTCCTGACCTTAGTCTGCCCTAGGAAGCCTTCTCCCTGAGGCCTCCTGCAGCTTCTGCGTCCCCTGAGATACTTACTGCACAGGATGAGCTGCTTTCGTTCCCAAGTAATAGGAATCTACACCCAGATGGACCTAAAGTATAAAAACAGTGTTTTGTACATATTCCAGAACGTTTACCAAACAAGATAGCTCAAGACAGACAGCATTTACCTTCCATGTACAAGGCCCTGGGTTCAGTCCCAAGCACTACAGACAGAAGGATGGGGGGAGGAAGAGGAGGAGGAGAGGAGGAGGAAGAAGAGAAAGAGGAGGAGGAAGAGAAAGAGGAGGAGGAAGAGGAGAGTTAGAGAGAGAGTGAGAAATCTGCAGGGTATAGGGACAAGGTCTGCAAAATGTTGAAAAATCAACAATGTAGGATAGAGATGAGCTCTTTAACGTTTAACAGAACTCCTAAGAATGCAAGATACAAGCTCTCATGAACATCAAGATACAAATAGAGAATGTCTCCAGAGTGGTGGTCCTCCTCTTCACCCTGGCTGAACGCAAGAATGATGGGACTATTTTATATGAACACAAGAGCGATCTCACTGTAACGACCCTGTCACCTGAGCCCAGCTCGGCGCTCCTGGGCCGCCGACTCTAAGGATGGCCCCGACGATGGATACTTTTCACAGCTTCCCAAGTAACTTTTAAGAGCGGATGGTGCTGAGAACAGCTGTGCCAGCACACCAGATGCCAGAGTTGAGCTTGAGGAGGGCTACTTGCCTTATTTTTATGTATAGCCTTCCTTCTCCCTTCCTGTCTTTTTTGTTGTTGTTGTTGATGGTGGGGCTTGAACTCAGGGCCTGGGCATTGTCCCTGAGCTTTTTTGCTCAAGACCAGTGCTCTACCATGTTGAGCCACAGCGCCACTTCTGGTTCCCTGGTAGTCAATTGTCTCATGGACTTTTCCTGCCCAGGCTGGCTTCAAACTGAGATCCTTAGAGCTCAGCCTCCTGAGTAACTAGGATTATAGGCATGAGCCACCAGCACACAGCAAGAGAGATGGTTTTAAATGATAACTCTTGTTTAATATAAATTGTACCTCAATGGAGAGGAAAGTCAGCATGAAGAAAAGAACACCAAAACTATTATAAAAAAAAGTGGGATTTAAACATCTAACTGAGAGCAGCACATGGCTTCTGCATGTGGGTGTGTCCAATTTCAGCAGCTAAAGCAGGTGCTTGTGGAGAGATAATGCCCAACGTTTGACTTCAAGGACCCAGAGTTCGGTATGTAGCCCAGGAATTCTGAGTGTAGCCCCACAGACAGGACGCCTTTGCTTACATTCAAGGTGGAAAGATGTTGAGCTGAGAACTGAACAAAGACAGGCATCCAGGTTCACAGGAATCTAAATGGTTCTGTCCCTTCAGCGACCATGTTTCCATTTTGAAATCACTGCCTGGTGACTTGTGAAATCCTAGAAGGCTGGGTTGCAGAAGGGTTATGAAGGTTTACTAGTGAGCAGCGGAGTGCTGAGAGATGAGAATCGCACAGGCTGGGAATGAGCTTCTTTTAAGGGCCAGTGTTTGTAAGGCGGGAGAAGCAGTTGGTTCTTACAACCTCTCTATAAAGTTGTCCTTCTTCCGGGGACTGCCTTCAGTTCACAAGTTCCCACCATATTCCTAGCATTTCCACCTTAAAACAAGCTGGATCTGCTTAGGGCTGGTTTCTCCGCGTGGGGAAGTTTGGTTTCAGACATGACACACTGCAGTTGGATCCTGTCCCCCACATCTGGAAGCCACATGTCTGTTGCAGCTGTATAAAAGGCAGCCCAGCAAGCCCAGGGTGACATTATCACTCTTTTTTGCCTAAACCCAAGCAGCATGGGCCTTGCTCTTCTGTGGCTGCTCCCGTCAATGCTCGCCGTGGCCTGGGGCCAGTACGGAGACTACGGGTACCCGTACCAGCAGTACCATGACTACGGCGACGACGGCTGGGTGAATCTGAACAGACAGGGCTTTAGCTACCAGTGTCCCCACGGGCAGGTGGTGGTGGCGGTGAGGAGCATCTTCAGCAAGAAGGAAGGTTCTGACAGACAGTGGAACTACGCCTGCATGCCCACCTCCCAGAGCCTCGGAGAGCCCACCGAATGCTGGTGGGAAGAGATCAACAGGGCCGGCATGGAATGGTAAGGGGCGGCTGCCACTCGGGGGCGGGGATAGCGCTGCAGGTCTCCCCCGGGAGTGTCTGAGTCTCAAGGGACCGCAGTGCCCATCACCTGAGCAAATATGACCTGGGCCTGTATCGCTGTGCTCTCCGGCGGGCACAGGGCTGGTGCAGATTGGGTCACGTCCCTGGACCAAACCGAAGGCAAGGGCATGTCCGTGCAGAGAGATGTCTTTGTGGTTCTTTCCCTTCTAGAGGTGGCTCTGTGCTCAGATCGGTTCAGCGGCTAGTGAGAATCTGTAATGCTCACGGACTGCAGAAAGCCAAGTACAGAAGTTGAAATCACTTGATGGTGACTGAACTTCGCTGTGACATTGGAATGTCGTTTCCATGTCGTAATGATTTGCCATTTTACAGAAGCATTTGGTCCAGACTAGTTGGGGAGAAAAAGAAACAGTTGGTCCCCAGCACGTACAGCTTGGGGAAAGAATATTGATTTAGAGCAAGTGAACAGACAGAGGGGACGAAGACTCGAAGTGAAGGAAGTTAAAGAGTTCTCGCTGCTCTGATTCAATGTGGTCTCCATTTGGAGTCCTGAGCTGCTTCTCTGCCTGGGTTCTGCTGCTGGAAATTAGTTTAGTAAAAGCTTTTACAGAAGGGGCTCTCCCTCCTCACTCTCCCCCTCCCTCCCCCCCCCCGCACTCTGTCCTTGTCAGTGGCATGGAACGCCCCAGCTTGGGCTTCTCTGTGGGTTGGAGGGCCCCACTTCCCTTCTCAGCCTTGTACTTGGTCAGAAGCAGCCCATCCCAGTGGCCACTGATGGCTAGATATGCATCCACAGCTGCCTGGAAGACCCTGGCTGCGGGGGTGGGGGAGAGGGCAAAGGCTGACCCTGGGGGGGGCAGGCACAGGACAATGAGGAGGCCCTGCAGGCAGGCGGCCCTCCGTGGTGTCTGGAAAGCAACTCAGACAGCTCTGCAGGGGGGTCCAGAGGTGGGCTGAGGAGTTGGGAGGCATTGAGCAGAAACTCTAGGGCTCGCGTGATCATCACCAGGGACCCAAGAGGAACAGACACACATGGGCAGGCCAGCCGGTAGAGAGGCCAGGCAAGAGAGGAGCCTCCAATAGACACAGCTGGAATTTATTGAGTGCTTGCCCCTGAATGGGCGCCATGCTAAGCACTTTCTATGGATTATCTCATTTAATGCTCAGAACAAAGCCATCAATGATTCTCTAGGCAGACAAATTGCTACTGCCATGTAGAGATAAGGTGTGTGTGTGCGTGCGTGCGTGTGTGTGTGTGTGTGTGTGTGTGTGTTTCAGCTAGAAAGCTGGGATTTGGGCCCAGAAAAATCTCAGTTTATCTACTGTGAGGGGCCGGCCCCTGGGGGCTTGCTGCCCCCCTGATGTGAGCTCCGAGCGGGAGGCGGGCCCCGTCAGCCCGGTCAGCACGGCCGGGGCTTCAGGAGCAGACCAGGCCAGTGGCTCAGGCTGGGTGAGATGGAACTTCAAGACCACAGAAGAAGTTTAGCCCTGGAACCAGGCTTCCTGGGAGGTGCTCATCCACCCTGCTCCCTCTGGCAAGCAGATTTAATGATCCCAAGCCCCTCCAGACAGAAGGCCGGCCCCGAGAGCAGGCCTGCGTGGAGGCTGGACTCCAGGCTCATGACCCGCACAAACCATGGTGATGACTTCGTGACAAACGCCTTTCTGTTCCCCCCATCTTGGGGGACCATCATGGGGTTGGGGACGCCTTCTTTTTGGAGCCCCAGTTAAAAAGCACTCAGCTATGATTGCTCCCATCCTAAAGGGAAAGCACTGGGCTGAGTCAGGTAGTCAGGAAGCATGGTTCTGGATTCTCGTGCTGAGGATGGTGTGCCGTGCGGCCTGGGCCCAAGGCTCGGCTCTCTGGTGCCCACTTCAGTGGGTAGGGAGCCCTCATCTCAAACTGTGGAACCCGGAGATCCACAGAGGAGACGTTCACCCTTGAACGTGAACTTGGCATCGTTCAGCATTGGTGGGTCCTCGTGGCCAATCCTGGCAGGACAGGAAGGAACGGATGTTTACTTTGAACGTTGACAACTTGTGGCTGGTCTGTCGTAACCACCCAGGGTGAGGAAAAGTGAAATGGGGGAAACCATGAATGTGAGTAACCAGAGTCCATGGAGTCTAGTGAGAAAAACGTCCCTGTCTCCGCTTGCTCTGCTTTCCCTGTGCAGGGTCCAGGGATTCTTCCTGCCTGCCTTCCCCCTCTGCTGCCTCCTTCTTATCCAAATCACAGGGCTGAGAGCTCAGAAACATGCCAAACAGCTTCTTCTGCAGGGCTGAGCTGCCTCACGAGAGATACCAATTACTCCCCAGGCAGGTTTTTTTAGATGATTATGGCTTTGAGTTCAGACTCCAGTCCCAGTGAAAAATTTAGAAGGAAAGAAATTGCTCACAGGCTGAGAAGCAATTACATCTTCCCATCGGCTGCAGGCTCTTGATCTGTTCTGGGGGAGGAGTCGCTGATGATTTAGTGCCATTCAGCTGCCTTGTGTAAGGAAATTAGCTTTTCAGTTTTATTTGAAGAGAAGGAGTGTGGAATAAAAACTTGACAATAGAGTTGTGGTAAAAACTTGACTTGCTGAAGAAACTCGCTAATGGACCTCCATCTTTTAACAGGTGCTGCTCAGAGCTTGCTAGAGGCATCCGTGCTAGACGTAGACTTGGTCTCAGGCTCTCTCTTGAGACTACCATGTGTGTTTGTTCCGGGGGGAGGGGCCGGGAGATGACCCGTTGGGGTTGTCAAGAAGGACAGTGCTAAGATACAGCTGTCAGGGGGTGTGGTGAGCGCTTCCAGTGTTAGTGATTTTCCATCAGTTTCACCTCTGTGGCATTTGGGGTTTTGTTTTATGAGAGAGGGGGGGGCTAAAGAGAGAGAGAGAGGAAGACAGAAGAGGGAAAATGTGAGGAAGGGGAAGGGAAACAGATGAGGGAAGGGAAAGGAGAAGGAAGGAAATGAAGTTGTGATATTCATCTCAGAAGGTGTGATCCTTATGAAAGAAAGTATAAAAGAACTCAAAAGCAAATGGCAATCTTAAACAAACACCTGGGGCATTGCATCCTGTTGACTGACAATCAGTTAAGATGTCGTGGACGTTGATGAGGTTTATGTTGGACACATGAGGTTTAGCTCATTCAGGAAGAATGTTGTGTCTACTGATTACTGTTTTGCTCCCCTCTACTTCAAGGAAATTCCTGAACGTCAGCTCAAAGTGACAGTATATCAGAGCTGAATTTATAAATCCATCAAGGAAAGTCCACCTAGTGAAGAAACAGAAGCTATCCAACAGAGCTCTGTTAGTATCAAGGCAAACTTGAAGCTGAATATGTTGGGCAGAAACTCCATTTTCCATACTCTGACTATAGTTAAGACCAAGGCTCCATGAAGCACAGAGCCATGGTTCCAGTTCAGTGCGTGCAACGCCTGCTTCCTCTGCTCCAGCATCTCCTGGCCTCTGCCCCTTCAGCATGCTTTATTTCCTGCAGCACCCTGTCACTTCCAGATTCCTGTGTTGGTTGTTTCCTTCACAAAACATATGTTTCATGAACTTCATGGAGGCCCTTGTCCTATCACCGCTGTGTCCCCAGTGCCAAAAATGACGCCAGCACATGACAGGGCTCGATGAGCATGAAGGCTTAAAGCAGTTGAGCTGGTGTTTCCAGGAGTGCAGTTCCCAGCCAATGTCCCGCCGACCTCAACAAAGAAGCCTATGGTTTCTTGGGGGGTCGGGGGGTATGTTGCTAACATCTGTAATACGTGCTCAGCATTTTACTCGGGTTTGTTGCATTTATTAACATGCAAGATACTCTTTTAAGAGTTCTTGGGGGGGCTGGGAAGGTGGCTCAGTGGTAGAGCTCTTGCCTTGCATGCATGAGGCCCTGGGTACGATTCCTCAGCACTACATAAGCAGAAAAAAAAGCCTGAAGTAGTGCTGTGGCTCAAGTGGTAGAGCACTAGCCTTGAGCTGAAGAACTGAGGGACAGCACCCAAGCCCAGAGTTCAGACCCACGACCGGATCCAAAAAAAAAAAGTTCTTGGGGTCTCCAAAATATGCACAGAGGTTGGCTGGTACAGGTTAATATTATGGTACAAATTCTTTATTGCATTTATATTCTCTTAATTAATCTTAATGCCTCAACAAGCTTGAAAAGGAGGAGTGTAAACTCTAATTTCAAAAGCCTTATTGACTAAATATTCCAGGATATTGGAATTACATGGCTCTCACTATTCCAGACAAAAATGTTCAAGGTCCTGGTTTGGATCTTGAGACAGGACAAGGACATTGGTGAAATCCAAATAAAATCTAGAGTTTAGGTTTACACCAATGTTAACTTCTTGGCATTCATAAATTCACCCTATTTATGAAAGCAGCACCAGGCATAGTTAGGTGGTGGGTTGATAAGAATCCTATCTCTACAACTTTTCTGCACATCTAAAACTGTTTCAAAAATACCTAAGAATGCAGGCTGGCCGTGTTCGTACTGGGAATTTAAGAGGTGAACACTGAGCATAACAAAACCCAAGAATACAAATATTAAATAGTAGGAGCCTTAGGTATGATGTAGAACAATCTTCTCATGTAGTACCTTCAGAATAAGAGCCAACAGAGTGATACAATTAAAAAAATAAATGAAATCACCACAATAAATGAAACTGCTATAACTCTGGCCTTAATTTACACACTGCTTTGTGGCTTATAACATATTCCCATTGGGACATTCATTTGCAAATTCAGTGCTTGTTATCATGAACTTTAACAAAACTGCATGTTAAGGACATATGGGCAGTGCCCGTGAGTTCCTGAGAGTCTAATCTTACTCTTCGCCACAGTCATGGGAAGCAGGTATTGTTTTAGTCCGGGGAACATGACCTGACAGCATTGGGAACCTGCCTGTCCCTTGCTAGGGACTGCACAATGCCAGTCTGATGCCCAGGGCCACAGGTGAATAGAGATGTTGATTGTTTTTTCTTAGCTAAAGCTACCATGAGTTCTGAGCTTAAAGTCATCAAATCCCTGTCAGAATGACTTCTGAGGGCAAGAAGGTTGGGTGTGGGAGACAAGACTCTGGCAGGTCTAGGATCCTTTCCATCTAGGTCACTCTCTTAAAGACTGGGAAATCAATTGTCTGGGGGAACTTGAGCTTTCTGGAAACACGCAAATTAAAAACAAAAAGGTCTAGGCTGTTCCTGCAGGATAAAATCTTCCCAATCGATACAAGATTTTTAGAGAACTGGAGGCTCACGCCTATGATCCTAGCTACTCTGTAGGCAGAGACCCAGACAGAGTGTTGCATATCAAGGCCGGCCTAGGCAGAAAGTCTGCAAGACTCCATCTCCAGAAGAACCAGCAAAAGCAGGGCTAAAGGCATGGGCCGAGTGATAGAAAGCAGATAAGCAAGCAGTTCCAGCAAGTGTGAGGCCCCGAGTTAAACATATACATAAAAAAGAACTTTAGGGAATTAGAAATCGCCCCCCTCTCTCTTTCTCTCTGTGTGCAAGTGTTTCTGTATAGGTCTGATTCTGAAAGTTTATGAATTTTAGAATCAGAACAATTCCTAAAATGTAGCCCCGCTACACATCTAATGTTTAAAAAAACTAAAATTGTTAAGAATTAAAATGAGCGGGTCTATTTCAATGGCTGTGTGTTCTTCGGGAAATTTCCTACGTTGTAGTTCCTTACAGATTACATAGTGGCGGTGCATTCTGTTGCTTCTGTTCACTGCTGTGGCCACAGAAAAGTTTCCTGTCTTTGCTTTGAGGGCCATTGTCAGAAAACCCATTTTCTCAGAACACAGCTTCAGAATGTTGTTGTCAGAGGAAGAGTAATTGCCTTATGATTTTCCTTGCAGAAAGCTTCTAGTGTCAGGTGGAGCGGGATTGATATCGCTCCAGCTTGTGAAAGTGAAATTGATTCTTGGCCTTCCAAGAGACGGGGAGAAAGGAGGGGAGGAGAAGGGCTGGGAAGCCCAGCACCAGGCCACCACCCCGCCGGGGACGTCCCCACGGCATCCGCTCAGAACTCAGCCGGGGCTAAGACGGCTTACCCGGGAAGCTGCCATGTGGCCTGTGCTGCCCAGGTCCAGGAGCAGCAAGCAGACGCAGGGAAGTGGCTCAGCACCTCAGTCTGTCTTTGCACCTGACCCACTTCTTTTTAACTTTTTAGCTATCTCTTCTCACCCAGCTCCCGTGCCTGTCCGTCTGAGGTGAGCTGTGGCTGAGGCTCAGGGGACTCTAAGAAGCTTTTAAAAAGCGTGAGAGAGACCAAAGCAAGAGCACTTGGGAGCGTCCATTTGGGGCCCTCATTGTCTAGTGGGCTGTTCCTGGGGGAGAAAGGAGAGGCAGAAAGATGGATGCTTTCCCTCCCTCCACGGAAATCATGTGGAGGGAGCTTGGGAGTTTGTGGACTTGAATGATAGGCCCCGGCCCACCCATCCCTCCTTCGATAGTGAGCCCCATCGCTTGAGTCGCGCATGCCGTTATTATAACCAGACCTAACGAAGCATCTACACTCCGCAGTGGGTGGAAAGACAGCCCATGTCGGCCAGCTTCGTCTGAGGACAACAGTAGCTCAGGGAAGCTCAGGACAGCCCAGGATCTCACAAAGGGCTCTCCTCACCATGGGGCAGCTTGTGGGAAAGTCAGTGACTGAACACGAAGGACTGCTCCCCAGAAATTTTATATGCTTTGTCATATTTGCCCCCCCAGTCACTTTACGAATTATAAGTGATTCTTATGCCCATTAGATGGGGATGTGAAGCTAACCCCAGGACACTGCTAACCCAGGACACCGCTAACCCCAGGACACCGCTAACCCCAGGACACAGCTAACCCCAGGACACCGCTAGCCCCAGGACACCGCTAACCCCAGGACACCGCTAACCCCAGGACACCGCTAACCCCAGGACACCGCTAACCCCAGGACACCGCTAACCCCAGGACACCGCTAACCCCAGGATACCGCTAACCCCAGGACACCGCTAACCCCAGGACACCGCTAACCCAGGACACCGCTAACCCCAGGACACCGCTAACCCCAGGACACCGCTAACCCCAGGACACCGCTAACCCCAGGACACTGCTAACCCCAGGACACCGCTAACCCAGGATGCCAGGCTGGGAGCATCAGCCCGTGCGCCGAGCAAGGCCCCGCTGCCACCCTCCACACTGGGAAAAGACACCCCTGCCCAAATCCAATTCCAGAGGGGATGATTGCACACCACCAAACTCCCAAGCAGGCTCGCTCGAGCAAAGTGAAGAGGCAATCTAACTGGGGGGGTGGGGGTTTGGTGTTCTGTTATGCATTACTTGTGTTCTCAGGTCAGAGCTGTACAGTCCAAACACTCTTCACCAGAGAGTGTTATCTGAGGTGGCTGTGAGAAAATGACACGCCATGCTTCCCATGCAGGCTGTGGGGCTAGCTGCCTGGCTGACAGCTGGTGGGGGACTTGTGGCACTTGGATTGGCTTCTGAAGGAGGACTTCATGAGACAGCTCTCCTTATCTGCCCACATTTATTTGTAGTGAAGGGAACTTAACCACCGTGGCAACTCTGTCCCTTGTAGAGGTCTGAGTACATAGGACAGACAAAAATAGAGCAACAGTCACTGCAAGGAAACCATGGGAAACAATGTGACACATCTTCTCTCTTTGGGCACACAAACTTTTGACATTACCACTTGAAGCTTAGGTTAGAACAGACCTGCCCAGAAGGCCAATTGTTTGGTCTCCCAAAATGCTCACCAAGTGGAAATAGTCTTGACAAGATGCGACCAATGAGGTAGTTTACCAAAGGCTAGATCATCAAAGGGCCATTTAGAGTAGCATATACATTATTGATTTCCAATAGATGAATACCAGAAATTCTTACAAGTCTTGAGAGAATGGTTGACCAACTATCAAGACCATCTCTCTGCTATTCTCTTACTTTGTACAATGATTAAAATCATAGCTTTGTGTTAAGCAGTTGAGTGGGTGGATGAACTTAGAAATGCCTATTTGTATATGTCTAAATGAATGAATGTCAGTGATACAGTAGATATTTTCCAATCAACACCAGGAATACTTACTATTTAGTTTGGGCAGATATATAATGAGGAAGAATAAAAGGAAATCTAGTTGCACATAGTTTGAATGTGAGTTATATTTCCCTCAGACATCAGCATAGCCTACTCATTCCTACTTTATTTACAATACTTTCTTGAAATTTATCTTGCAGCCATAACTGCTTTCCTTATCAATGTACAAGAGGGGGCAGGTCAATGGTTAGCAAATGGGAAGGAAATGCACAGAAATAGAAATAGCTAGAGAGCAATTTTGGAAGGGCTTGTGCTACTGTTTGATTATATTCTCCAAAGGTCATGGTCAAAAACTTAATCCCTAAATTCATATGTTGATAGAATTTGGGTCTGAGGCAGGCAGTTAGGAATAGAAGGAAAGCTTGCATGATCATTATACCCCGACTTTATAGGAAGAGGAAGAGAGACCCTAACTAGCACACCGTCCCATTCTGTAATCTCTTCTACCACAATATATAATGCAGCAAGAAGGCCCTACCCAGAGGCTGGTGCCACGCTCTTGTGCTTCCCAACAAACCGACTCACGTGCTAAATAAATAAGCCTTTATTCTTTATAAGTTATCCAGTATGGTACTATTTATAGCAACAGAGAGCATGCTAGGGCATTCCATATAAGGTGGGATAAAATCTGGGTGTCACAGAGTAAAAAGAACAGAGTTAAGGTAGTGTGGGCCTGGGGGAATGGTAGAAGGTACTGGACATGGAATGAAAGAAGAAATGATTGCTCTGTTCCAAGCCAACACTTAGTTAGAAAGGTGCCATAAAGATAATCATAGTTTTGTTTTTTAAGCCTAATTTCTAGACCAGCACCCGCACAGGCAGAATGGAAGTAAAACTTTGTGTGGCTTGTGGGCCAGAGTGGAGGAGTTACCATATCTGAGGAATTAAGACGAAGCCAGGACAGGTGAGGGAGCCTGGAGGGAGGTTAGGGTCGGTGGCCGAGACTGCATTGTGAGGACCCCTCCAGAGCTCAGCCCTTCTGCAGAAGCTGAGAGCGGAGTTCCGAGACCGCCCTCGCGCGTGGAAGGAAGGAGCCTGTGCCAGCGGCGACAGGGGGCGGCCTCGCTTTCCTGGACAAACCTCTGGACCCATCTGGGCTTTGTGTGTTGTGTAGGAGACAATGAAAAGTTGGTTTAAAGTTCATTGATTCATCACATTTGTCTTTGCCTTCTTTGGTTTTCAATCCAGTGACCTTGATTTCTATCGTCTCTTCTTTTAAATGGCATGAGGAAGAGACTCTTGTAAAATCTATAACCATTTATGTCTTCTCTCAGCTAATGATATATGCATAGAAGTACATCAGGAGCAGTGTCTCCCACACTCCTTTCAGTGAAGAGTCTGAGTCATGGAACACAGGTCATTTCTACAACATAACAAAGCCTCTTATATATTACAAACTGGACAAATTGTTAGGAGCCTAAGCCACTGCGAGCATGCGTAATGGTGGCGGGCCGAGCTTGGGAAGGGTATGTTTATGCACCATTGTCCTTGGGTTCTTATCTCTGCAGGTACCAGACGTGCTCCAACAATGGACTGGTGTCGGGATTCCAGAGCCGCTACTTTGAGTCTGTGCTGGATCGAGAGTGGCAATTCTACTGCTGCCGCTACAGCAAGAGGTGCCCGTATTCCTGCTGGTGAGTTCGGGAGCCAGCCTCCTCCCTCACGAGTCTCGAGCTGCCCTGGGTTCTCTGGTCCATGTTTCAGGCTTCGGGCAGGCCTACGCCGTCACCTACTAACTTGGAAACAATCGTCATCTCTAAGAGAATGACTGCGTACGCAGAACGTCCACACTGGGGAGGGCCTACGCCCATCGATGCTCCCGTAATCCTTCTGGCATTAAAGGCTGGGGCAGATAGCAGGCATGCACTAGCTGTATTGGCTGAGCAAAGGAAGCCTTGAGCCTAATCTCCAGTTTTGTTGTGAAGATTAAGAAGGGTTATTCGTGCGTGGCCTGACCGATAGCCACCCTCTCACAGTGACTTCATAGGCATGGCCAAGCCTCACCCCCGAGGCCCGCAGACTCAAGGCCCGCAGACTGTCCCTTGCTCAGGGTAACTTCTCCCGCATGGAGCCTGTCACCCTGCAGACCCTCTCGGATGGTTCAGAGCCTAGTAGATGGGTTTAGATGGAACGGGAAGATGCTATTTTCTGAATCCTTTTGCCTGTGAGACTCACTTCACCCATTTCTCCTTGCTAGATTCATGCCAGATTTCTCCTCTTCTAGACTTCCAACTGAACAGGGGGGAGAGAGAATGTAGGTGTAGACCCACAGACAGACAGACAAAGACAGATACCTTGGCTGTTGATAACACACTACATCCCAATTCCTTTGGTCTAAAGTACAAGCCAGTCGTTTATGCCTTGGAGAGACATCACAGTCTGGTCAACATTCGAAGCTCAGATTGCTGGCGTGATTTATCTCTACCATTTGATGAATTGCTTCCTATGACGAGACGGTGTGACTCCGCAGGAGCCTGAGAGGAACACTAGCATCTCAAGGGACACAGGGCAGATCCAGAAGCTTAGCGCTCTTCTTTTTGAATAATGACCAACAGCACATCCAATAGTAATGCAGAATTGCAATCAGCTTGCAGTCTGCAGATAGCTGTACCTGTAGGATGGAGCAGGAGTCTCCTGGCTGCCCAGAGAAGGGTCCAACTGTGACAGGTTGTGAATCAGAGCCTGCAACTGTACTGGCGGGTGAGGGGCGTGCTGGAGTGGGCGCTGCGCTCCGTGGTGGGTGAGGGGCGTGCTGGACTGGGCGCTGCGCTGCGTGGCGGGCGAGGGGCGTGCTGGAGTGGGCGCTGCGCTGCGTGGCGGGTGAGGGGCGTGCTGGACTGGGCGCTGCGCTGCGTGGCGGGTGAGGGGCGTGCTGGA